TAGAAATATTCTATAATTAAAGTGGCGGAAGTTTGACAATTTGCGTCCACAGAAAACAGAAGACTTTCATTTTTTCGAGGTGCTTTTAACTTTGTATTTTGCGTTCCCAGAGGGGAAACTATTGTCTAGTATATGAAGTTTGCGACCCCTTTATGTTCAAATTAGAAACCAAATTCTGATTTAAAACACATTCCTAACTTCGAAATAAATACAGTAAACAATCAAAAGATACAATCATATTTTTCAATCTCAAACTTTTTTGATCAACATTGCATACAATCATACATACATATTTAGTACTTAACACTTTAATTTAGTTTTGAGTGTATTTTGACCCAATTTTAATTGTATATATGTTTATTATTGAAAAATATAAATGTGGGAAATACTTCATAACATTCGACAAGTGACCATTGAGTATATTTTTTTGTGTACAACTTATTTAACAGGTCAATAATGACTATTGTTTATAAATATTTTGTCAAAAAAAATAAAAATAAAATAAAATACGATTTGACAAACAATTAAGTAGAATGGTTTTTGTTTATACATATTATGTGGTTAAAAAATTATAAATGCAACTATATAGTATATTCAATGGAAGCAACTTATAGAAATGCCATGTAAAATGCAATATTAATATTTCGAAACAAGCGCATTGTTAAGTTCTGATTTACATTAGGCAATTGGGCGAAGTGGTGACGATTTGTCATTTTCCTCAACTCTATCACCAGCAAATTATGGTATTAGGATTTATTCAGATATTCTGCATTATGATTGGGCACGTATACTAAGAAAACACATACATTTAACTATTTGTGCTGGAAGTTACGAATTACCACAAACAATAATAATATAATAAATTAATTGATTGTTAATTTTTCATACTAAGTTTAAAACCACAATTAATTTTGCGTATCCAAAATTGGGAATATCTGGAATGTGCATATTTCTGTTAATTTATGTACCAAAAATCATTGATGTGTTCGGAAAATTTTTGGTTCCAAAAATTATTTAAAATGGAAAACGAAAATTTGGGATTGAAAATACCGAAATGGCGTGATAGAATAAAATGTTTGTGCAAACTTTCCATTTTTTTTTGGTGTGGTAATTTAAAACTCATATTTACGGCCATTAAAACAAATGCTAAATTTATTTGTAAATTGCATTTTAAATATATTAATTATATGGAATTCTATTATTTAATTACAATGTTATTTTCTTGCTAAATTAATGCAACAAATATTATTGCGTATGTCAATTTACTGTGGCATTTAAATTTGTTTATGTTGTCAAGTTTATTTATTTATTTTTTTCTTTATACCCTTCATCACAATGTGGTACAGGGTATTACGTCTTTGTGCATATGTTTGTAACAGGCAAAAGGAAACGAGATAGACCCATGGTTCCTTTTGAGAATATGCATAGAATCACTTTTTACGTCGATTTAAGCATGTCCGTCCGTCCGTCTGTCTGTCCATGTATTTTTGTGAGCAAAGTACAGGTCGCATTTATGATCCGAATTGGATGAAATTTGGCACAGCTCATGTGTTTGGTCCAAGGACGAACCCTATTGAAATTGCGGAAAATCGGTTCAGATTTAGCTATAGCTCCCATATATATTTTCGTCCAATTTAATGTAAATGGTGTACCAAAGTACCTATATATCTTTCGATTTGCTCGAAATTTAACATAACGTACTGAATTGAGCCGAGAATAATGTCTGCCAAGTTTCGAGAAAATCGGCATAGATTTAGATATAGCTCCCATATATAGTTTCGTCCGATTTCATGTAAATGGTGCACAAAAGTCCCTACATATCTTTCGATTTGCACGAAATTTGGCATAAAGTACTGTATTGAGCCTAGAATGATGTATGGTATGTTTCGTAAAAATCGGTATAGATTTAGATATACCTCCCATATATAGTTTCGTCCGATTTCTTGTAAAGGGTGCACCAAAGTCCCTATATATCTTTCGATTTGCACGAAATTTAACATAACGTACTGCTGGAATGATGTGTGCTGAGTTTCGTGAAAATCGATTCAGATCTAGATATATATATATATATATATATATATGTTCGTCCGATTTAATCTAAATAATGTACCAAGTTCTTATGTTGCATAGCGTTTTGAATTTAATCCAAAATGATGTGTGCCAAGTTTCGTGAAAATCTGCCAAGACTTTGATATATCTCCCATATATATTTTCGTCCGATTTAATGTAAATGGTGCACCACATGTATCCTTCGATTTGCACAAAATTTGGCATAGCGTTCTGAATTGATGCTGGAATGATGTGTGCTGAGTTTCGTGAAACTCGATTAAGATCTAGATATTTATATTTTCGTCCGATTTAATCTAAGTAATGTACCAAGTTCTTATGTTGCATAGCGTTTTGAATTTAATCCGGAATAATGTGTGCCAAGTTTAGTGAAAATCGGTTGAGGTTTAGATATAGCTTCTTATATTATAGATTGATTTTAAGTAATTGACTCACCAAGGAACCAAAATATGGCTGATAGGAACAAAACGTACTGAAATTAGTATAACCTAACCTATCTTTCGATTTGCACGAAATTTGGTACAGCGTAATGAATTAGATCTAGAATGATGTGTGTTAAGTTTCCTGAAAATCGGTCCAGATTTAGATATAGCTCCCATATATATTTTTGTCCAATTCAGGGTGAATGGTGTACCGAAGTCTCTATATATCTTTCGATTTGCCCTTAATTTGGCACAGTGTTCCATGAAAATCGAAATGATGTATGTTTACTCGAGGGGCTTGCTTTACTCCTCGCCGTGGTTATGTATGGTGGATTGGGGGTGATCAATGTATTAATTCAAGGGAGTGGGGTGATGCGACAACAAGAAAACTCCCAAGCAAAGAAAATAAAACACAGGAGTTATTAATATAATATTCTATGTATCTTGGATTTATTGGTGGTTCTTTCTTTTCGAAATACAACAAATAAATTACCTCTTGTAATTTATGGTGGCGGCAATGAGACCTATTAATAACGCGAGGTTGGAGGTTGGTCGACAAGTGAACGCTGTGGTTCATTTAATCACACAGGATCGCTGAGGATCGGTTGTCGTTTACTACTACATTTACATATTCCAATGGGAGAAAAGTGTCTAGCAAGGAGAGCAAAACAGCAACAACCACCGCTCGGTGGCATCTACACTCTACGGTCTCCGCTGAGGGAACTTGCAGAGGAGATACCCGTGGTGTCAATCAGCAGACGTGATTGACTGAGCTCGGGAAGTTGAGTCAGAACCAGTGTTGCCGTTTGAAAATTTTTTTTTCGCCCAAAATTGCATCTAAAAAGTGCCCAAAATCAACAATTTATGCCCAAATATTCGAGATTGAAGAAGTATACTCTGATATTATAAATTAAAAGAGAGAGCATTTTTTCTCTACATTTTTTAAATGCCGAAAAGTAAAAAAAATAGCAAAAAATTGTTTTTATATAATAAAATATTTTGTTAATAAGAATTTGTACCACCAATATGACTTATTGTCACCTTGTCACGTCAAATGTCCCACATCGAAACATTAGTTTTAGAATCTATTTACAAATGTTCGGAGATCAGGAATATCTAAGTGCGGAGATGAGGAATATCTAAGGCGAACAGATTTTGGCAATGAAAGTAGATGGCATCAAGAAAAAATTAAACAATATATTTTGAAATATATATTGTTAAGAATAAAATTAAACATTTTAATTGGATTCAAAATGTACGTATTTTACAGACAAAATATATATTGCTCTAATTAGGATGATAGAGGACATCCAGTTTATAGATTACATGCAGGTAAAATATATGATTGTCTTCCAAAAACTAGGACGTATGACCAACTTAGGAATATCGGACCAATCAGCATAAAGTCTCCAGAAAATGGTTAAATTTTTGCTGGCAATTAATTTTATAATGTAATTTTAACCAAGCCTGTATAATATTGGGAAATGAGAGTTATCACACCACTTATTGTAGAATCTCCCCAAGAAAGGGCCAATATTTGGAAATTTTGTAGATCTCATATGAATATATGAACGGAATATCCGGTTTCATCGAAGCTTTGCACATTGTTATATTTTTACAAAGCCTAGATCAAGTTCGATGGGACCTAACGGCACATTTCTTCTGGTACCTCACCCACAAAGAGTCAACATTAAATCCGAATATGGAGTCCATACAACTTCGTCAGGTACCTCCCTATTCTTTGATATTGCGACTTTAATATTTCTTTAAATATATGTTTAGGACAATTATCGGCTATATAGATCCATCATCTGTTGTACTTCCCCCACAAACAGTCAAAACTTTGCAAAATAATAAATTTAATCCAAAAAACTTAGACCCACTCAAACCATAAGTCTACGGCAAACACCGTTTAATTTGTATATGAATAACCTAAAATAAATTTATGGGGTTGAGAAGAATAGATCCACTTTCCGTTAAAACTTGATGGTCATAAATAAGGATAATGATCCATTTTATATGTGATTGCGCGATATTTTTGGACTATAATTCCCACATATGTGTATATACATCAATAATATTGGTATAAATTTAAAGGTCAGCCACTCCTCTTAAATGAACTGTCCTTCCCGGTTCCTTTTTCGGAAATAAATTTTGTAATTTTTCACATAAAAGTATCCATATGATCCGCCAAATATTGGCCGATATTCATCAAAACATTTATGATTTTTTCCTTTGCAGATTATTTAAAATTTGTTCTCTTTTATAAATGTGTGTGTGTGTTACAATTTTGAAACACCGATAGCCCATGCGAACCATTTTGGGCACTGCTTTTTTAAATCTGTATTCCCTCTTACTTCTTGAAAAATACATCTATTTTAAATTTATGATTTTGTTTCATGCAACAAATGTACTTCATCATTCATCCATGTACGAGTATTTCTTTGTTTTATCTTCACATTCAATTAAATTTTGCATTTGGTTCTGATCGGATTTCATCTTCTATTTCAGCTTTCCATAATAACTTTAGAGACTTATCCATCGAAATTGATTAAGAAAGTTTTACCAAAAATCAATTCAAAACTTACATTTCTACAGGATGCATACAAATTTATACAAAAAGAGGAGGTAAGTAAATATTGAAGCTTAGATTTTTTTTTATAAATTTATATTGAAAATACTGTTTACATTACACTTTGGGCATTTTCAAAGTAGATCCAAACATTATTTTAAGGATTTACAAAGAATCACTTTCTGAGTCAATTTTTATTATACCCTTCACCACACTGTGGTACAGGGTATTATGTCTTTGTGCATATGTTTGTAACAGACAAAAGGAAACGAGATAGACCCATGGCTCCTTTTGAGAATATGCATAGAATCACTTTTTAAGTCGATTTAAGCATGTCCGTCCGTCCGTCCGTCCGTCTGTCTGTCCATGTTAAATTGTAAACAAAGTACAGGTCGCATTTATGATCCGAATTGGATGAAATTTGGCATAGGCCACTTATTCGGCCCAAGGACGAACCCTATTGAAATTGGGAAAAATCGGTTCAGATTTATATATAGCTCCCATATACATATTTGACCGATTTAATGTAAACGGTCCCTAAATATCTTTCGATTTGCACGAAATTTGGTACAGCCTAATCATTTAGGTCTAGAATGATGTCTGCCAAGTTTCGTAAAAATCGGTCCAGATTTAGATATAGCTCCCATATATAGTTTCGTCCGATTTGATGTAAATGGTGCCCCAAAGTCCCTATATATCTTTCGATTTGCACGAAATTTGCATAACGTACTGAATTGAGCCTCGAATGATGTCTGCCAACTTTCGAGAAAATCAGTCCAGAATTAGATATAGCTCCCATATATAGTTTCGTCCGATTTCATGTAAACGGTGTACCAAAGTCCCTATATATCCTTCGATTTGCACGAAATTTGGCATAACGTACTTAATTGAGCCTAGAATGATGTCTGCCAAGTTTCATGAAAATCGGTCCTGATTTAGATATATCTCCCATATATAGTTTCGTCCGATTTCATGTAAATGGTGCCCCAAAGTCCCTATATATCATTTTCGATTTGCACGAAATTTGGTACAGCCTAATCATTTAGGTCTAGAATGATGTCTGCCAAGTTTCGTGAAAATCGGTCCAGATTTAGATAGATATAGCCCCTTTTATAATAGATTGATTTAATCCCGATTTCAAGTAAATTGGGCATCAAACTCCTCATGTTAGTCAGATTGACATCAAAGATTGCACATCGTACAAAATTGTGCATAAAATTATATAGTTGCGTTTTCTAGAAGTACAGACATAGCCCAACGGATGACCTATATATATATTTGTTTGAAGTCGAGTTACATACTTTATGGATAGATCTAGGTAGATTCAAATTTAGATAAATATCACATATTTTATTTCATCAAATTTCATGCTAATAGTCCTGTTTAATATACCCATATATAGTGGTGAATGGGGTACTTATATATCGATTTGCACGAAATGGCAATAAGAAAATCGGCCAGGTCCGACTTTACTACTTTCCTTACTGTTTTTTTTATTGAATTTATTATTGTATTAAATTATGTTATTTTCTGTTTTTTTTTTTCAGAAATTATGGCCTAAAATATTTCCTGAAATTATGTTAATGGACTTCCTCTTCAGCAGCGAAAGACAAATACCAACAGATGTCGCTGTCTTAATAATATCATCGCTAATAGATCTTCAAGAAGATTTCCGTTATTTTGTAAAACGTGCATTTCTAAGATATCTATTGAGGTTTGTAATAAAGACCAGATATTTAATACGACGCATTGAATTTGGCCAAAAATTATACGAAATTTGTTCAGAAAACTATGTAATATTTTCAAGTAAAAAACAGTAAGAAATTTTCAAAAGTAGTATGTGATACCATTCATCACTTTGGGTTCTCATACAGGGAAGTTCCTTCGTATTATCATCATGTCGATAGGACATACATAATATTTTTCATAATATTGAGGACTATTGACATTGAATCGGATTTTTGATATGTGATCTACGTGGATATATGAACCAATTTAAATCAACACATGCACATGTCATTCTGAAAGTTATACAATATTCCATGTCAATCGTGCAGACTTGGTGTACCATTTATATGAAATCGAGCAAAAATGTGTATGAGTGCTTAATGTACATTTTGACAGATTTGAAGAAAAATTGACATATGACATTCAGTATGCCGCCGTAAAGAGTCTCAATCGACAAATATTTGAAATAACTTGTGTCTCAATAGTACAAACCGATATAGTTCGGCGCACCATTTAAATAAAATAGTCGAAAACATTTATGGGAGCTACTTATAAATCTGAAAAGATTTCAACATAGGTTGAGGCACCATTTACGTAAAATCGGACTAAAATATATGGGAGCTATATCTGAACCAATTGCAATAAAACTGTTCACACTTTATTCTATAGCCAACACAATGCGCTATGCTAACTTTTTACTCAACCGGAAAAAAGTCTGGGAGTTTGGAGCACCATTTACACAAAATCGGTCAAAACTATATATGGGAGCTATATCTAAATCTTAAACGAATGCAGATTTTTTTTCTCAGTCGGACAAACATTGTGAATTTGGTGAGCTATTGTGGAATCGGCAAACTTATATATGGTCGATATATTTGAATCTGAACAGATTTTCTCCAATTTCAAAAGGTTTCGTCCTTGTCGGAACATAAATGCGTCCCGTACTTATACTCATATTTTGATAGAACTTTAAAAATACCAAAAACGTGAGAAAAATGGGTCACACATCCACATAATATCCAATATTGGGGGTACCGTTATATGCGAACTACCCTGCAAATTGGGTCAATATTAAAAATTTTAAGTACCTAGACGTGCCATGCAATGTGAACCCAAAAAACCAAATTACAGGCAATTCTGTTGAAATACATGTCCAAAATACCGAATATTGGGGGAACCCGTTATATGGAGGCTACACCAAAACGTGTACCGATATAGCAGTACAAAACATCCAAAATAGCGAATCCACAAATATCCCAGGAGCACTGGCAATGTCTGAGAAAAATGTCTATATTAAATATTGCGATCTCTATCGTGATTTTAACAGACGGACATACGGACAGTAAGATGGACACACATAAATCGACATAGAATATTATTCTGATCAAGAATATATATACTTTGCGGGATCTCTGGTGAATATTTCGAAATAGGAAAATTGGTTAGATATTTTGTGAAAAATCATTACATTATATTATATTACGAAACCAGTAAGGAAAGCAGTAAAGTCGGACTGGGCCGACTATATGATACCCTTCACCACTTTGGGTATATTCTACGTAGGCGTCGCATTTTCGAAGGAACATTGACATGAAATTGATCGAACGAACTGAATTTGTGATCTTTATCTATACCTAAACCGGCTGACATCAACCTATGCACTGTTTAAAATTTAATCTCAATCAGACACCAATTGATTATTTGGTAACATGAATATGAATAAATCAAAATTATATATGGAAGCTATGCTATACCTACATCTGAACCGATTTCAAGGAAACTTGCCAGCGATTAATTTATATTAACTTCTGTACGTTGTGTCAATCGGAGTAGCTATGGATCTTTAGTGCACCATTTACTTAAAATCTGACGAAAATATATGTAGGAAGTGTATGTAAATCTGAACCGATTTTCATGAAATGTTGCACACATCAATCTATACTTAATTAAGTACGATATAACACAATCGAAAGATATATGGGGAGTTTGGTGCACCATTTACCTAAAATCGGACGAAATTATATACGGGAGATATATCTAAATCTGAACCAATGTTCACGAAATTTAGCACACATCATTCTGCACTAAATTCAGTACTCTATGCCAAATTTCATGCCAATCGAATGATATATAGAGACATTGGTGCACCATTTACCTTAAATCGGACGAAACTATATACAGGAGCTATATCAAAATCTGAACCGATTTTCTCGAAATTTGGCACGCATCATTCTGGACCTAATTCAGTACGATGTGCCAAAATTCGTGCAAATCGAAAGATATATAGGGACTTTGGTGCACCATTTATCTAAAATCGGACGAAAATATATACGGGAGCTATATCTAAATCTGAACCGATTTTCTCGAAATTTGGCACACATCATCCTGCACTAAATGCAGTACTCTATGCCAAATTTCATGCCAATCGAAAGATATATAAAAACTTTGGTGCACCATTTACCTAAAATCGGACGAAAATATATATGGGAGCTATATCTAAATCTGAACCGATTTTCTCGAAATTTGGCACGCATCATTCTGGACCTAATTCAGTACTCTGTACCAAATTTCGAGCGGATTATAAATGCGACCTGTACTTTGTTTACAATTTAACATCTACAGACGGACGGACGGACGGACGGACATGCGTAAATCGACTCAGAAAGTGATTCTATGCATATTCTCAAAAGGAACCATGTGTCTATCTCGTTTCCTTTTGCCTGTTATAAACATATGCACAAAGACATAATACCCTGTACCACAGTGTGGTGAAGGGTATAAAAAGTAAATAGCTAAGTATATGTTATTTTCTATTCCATTACTAAAATTTATAGCTTAACTGCGTATTTTATATTGATACTTCGCCATTAGAAAATTTAGACCTTTGAAATTTTATCAGCTCCAGTTTTATTTTCTGAATTACGATAATTACGCCAAAACTTGAATTGTAGCCATGTTTTTCAAAATACCGAAAATTGTTGACATATATCGAGAGATTTCTGCGAGGAAGAATTTGTTATCATATTTAAAGTCCGAATTGCATTCAATTCATTTTTGTATAGCCTCCGATATCATTGTGACTTATTTTCTGTATTTACAACATCCGTTCATTCATTAAGTTCAAATTAATTGTACTTCGATATATTAACTTTTTTCTTGGGGTTTCCTCTTTTCGTTTAGATCTCCCCTAGAACGTAAACGATTGCAGTTGGTGGCAGAGCCGCCTGAATTTCCTATAATGACCATCCGGGCTCCTGTACCGTGGAAGGTTTATGTGCAGTTAGCACGAAATCATTTGGATCAAGTGTTAATGACTACACATCCCGTTATAAGAGCACTCAACTTGCTTTGGCATCAGCTGTAAGTAGTCTATTTGGTGGGTGGTTCCCTTTCTCCGCATTTCCTTGAATCTGCCGTATTTCATCGGGTTAAATGCTTTATCAAGTTGCGGTGACATCTGCACGACGAGTAGTCGCTGGCCAACTAAAAGTTAATAATGTTATTTATATCGTTTTTCTTTTCTTCCGCCATCACGCAATGGACTTCACCTTTTTTGTGTGGTATGTTGTACAAATCATTACTTGGACGGTATATCCGATGCCTTGTAACCTGTGTCCGGTATGGGTTGGTGTGTATGTGTGTGTCGGTTTGAACGAAACAAAAAACAAGATACCATGATTTAGTCATTGTCGATGTATCTCAGATAGTTATACGTGATGTGCCCATGAATGCCGATGAGTTAATAAAATTTGTCCAAGAAAGTTGTGATACCATTCGTGAGGTAAGTATCAGGTAGTTGTAGTTTTATAATTCCATGACATTTACAGGATAAAGTGGACAAATTAGATGGCTGTGGTCGTTGCCACAACTCATTGATGATGATGATGATGACGGCGATTTTATGTTTAGAAGATAATACCCTATTCTAAGTTTTTTTTTTTACTTTTACGAATGTCTTTTGTGCCCAGTTACTGCTTAACGACTGGATACCACGTTGTGCGGATATGTTGGATGTAATGCGTAAAACCTGGAAAGACTTAATTCCGATGCGTGGCCAGCATGGTGGTCGTGCAGCTGTTTTATTTCGTTGTGTTCACGCCTTAATGTCACTTCACTTGGAAGGTTTAATAACCAGAAGTTTAACTTATTTGTATAAAACTTTGTGCGATTATACGGTAAGCTAGTCTGTTCTCTCCTGATTACTGTTCGTCTTAATAAGTTCGGGCAAAAGTTTTAATTGTTTGGCTGTCTTTGTCATTAATTAGGCTGGTAATGATATTGAAAAGTATAATATGTACGATGCCAAGCTTAAACGAAGACCACTGATGACGTTGATTGTGTCAGTTATTGGGGTTCACTTTGATAATCCGGAAAGAGTTGATTTCCCACCGAAAAGCAAAACACCACAAATTTATGAAGAAAATGAAACTGATGACGCAAATCCATTTCAAAATAAATCCGGTGGACAATTTACAGATCATGTGAGTATAATGCATTTATCGACAGATACATTTGATTTTCATAATAACATTTAAAAAACCAGTGAGCGGAGCAGTATAGTCGGACGGGGCCGACCATACGATACCCTACACAACTAGCACGGAACTCAAATTTTCTTCGGATGTTTATTCCGGGCAATATTTCGCGATATTTTCACCCTCTTGCCCGATTAGAGGTAAACAGCACCACTTCTTTACACTGACATATTTTCCGAATATTACGAGTATTCAGTACAGCTATTGTCCAGATTCCCTTCACCGTGGATTGTGTTGTGATGTTTGGCTTTCATTTGTGGTCTATAGATCGACTCGAAAATAACACAAAAATTAAGTTTCGGTCCACTTCATTCCAAAATTATTATCTGATCATCACCGAAAATTATCGACGTTGTCCTTGGCCATAACTGGAACCTCATGGAACATTTCAAAGTGATCAGCGTTATAGTTCCGCTCTCTAGACTGATAATGGGTTACTAAATAATATACGAATACGGAGATACCTGTAAATATTTAGGTGTAACTCCCACATCCGAGCACATACAACAAAATAATTGGTATTAATTTAAAGGTCAACCACTCCTCTTGGATATAATATCAACTTCTCGGGTCTATGTCCTTCAGGAGTAAATATATACGCCATAGTATACAAATTTTGTCATTTTTCACACAAAAGTCAGGGTCCATTTGACCCGCTAAATATTGACCGATCTTTATCAAAACAGGCATGCTTATTCTTTGGCCCGATCCCCTTCTCCATGCAAAATTTCACAATGTTTGGGCCACTATTGCGGCCTCTGGAGCGACCAGAAAAACCGACAAAAATTTAGTATTTGGTCCATTTCATCCCCTAAATATCAAACGACCTTTCCCAAAAACAATAGGGGTCTTCATTGGCCAGAACCCATCTTTCATGCAAAATTTTGTGAAGATTGGTCCATAACTGTGGCCTGTATCGTGTTTACAAATTATAATGGACAGACGGACGGACGGACGGACGGACACACATGTCTAGATCGACTCAGCTAGTCGAGATATGACGATCGGTATACTTAAAGGTATGTCTAGGACCAATATTTCGCGGCGTTACAAACTTTTGGGGCTGCACAAAGCTATAATACCCTGACAACATAGTTGTGTAGGGTATAATTAACACTAGATTCTGAGATTTGTTTTGTAAGATAAGTTTCGGAAGTTTAAACCTTTTTATACCCTTCACCAATCTGTGGTACAGGGTATTATGTCTTTGTGCATATGTTTGTAACAGGCAAAAGGAAACGAGATAGACACATGGTTCCTTTTGAGAATATGCATAGAATCACTTTCTGAGTCGATTTATGCATGTCCGTCCGTCCGTCTGTCCGTCTGTAGATGTTAAATTGTAAACAAAGTACAGGGTGCATTTATGATCCGATTTGGATGAAATTTGGCACAGGTAACTTATTTGGCCCAAGGACGAACCCTATTGAAATTGGGAAAAATCGGTTCAGATTTAGATATAGCTCCCATATATATTTTCGACCGATTTAATGTAAACGGTCCCTATATATCTTTCTATTTGTACGAAATTTGGTACAGAGTAATGAATTAGGTCTAGAATGATGTGTGCAAAGTTTCGTGAAAATCGGTTCAGGTTTAGATATAGTTCTCATATATATTTTCGTCCGATTTAAGGTTAATGGTGTACCGAAGTCTCTATATATACTTCGATTTGCACGAAATTTGGCATAGCGTACTGAATTAAGTCTAGAATGATGTGTGTCAAGTTTCCAGAAAATCGGTTCAGATTTGGATATAGCTCCCATATATATTTTCGTCCGATTTAAGGTAAATTGTGTACCAAAGTCCCTATATATCTTTCGATTTGCACGAAATTTGGCACAGCGTAATGAATTAGGTCTAGCATGATGTGTGTTAAGTCTCTATATATACTTCGATTTGCACGAAATTTGGCATAGCGTACTGAATAAGGTCTAGAACGATGTGTGTTAAATTTTGTGAAAATCGGTTCAGATTTGGATATAGCTCCCATATATATTTTCGTCCGATTTAAGGTAAATGGTGTACCAAAGTCCCTATATATCATTCGATTCGCACGAAATTGGGCGCAGCGTAATGAATTAGGTCTAGCATGATGTGTGTTAAGTTTCGTGAAAATCAATTCAGATTTGGATATAGCTCCCATATATATGCTCATCCGATTTTATGTAAATGTTACACCCACGTCCCTATATATCCATCGATTTGCCCGAAATGTGCCTCAGCGTACAAAATTAAGTCTAAAACGGTGTGTGTTAAATTTTGTGGATATCGGTTCAGATTTAGATATAGTTCCTATAAATATTTTCGTCCGATTTTAGGTAAATAGTGCACCAAAGTCCCTTTATAGCCTTCGATTTGCACGAAATTTGGCATAGCGTACTGAATTGAGTCTAGAATGATGAGTGTCAGGAAAATCGGTTTAGATTCCAACATATCTCCCATATATATTTTAGTTCGATTTTATGTAAATGGTGCACTTAGGTTCCTATATATATCCTTCGATTTGCACAACATTTGGCATAGCGTACTGAATTAAGTCTAGTTAATTTTCGTGAAAATCGGTTCAGATTTAGAAATAACTCCCACATATAGATTATATTTTTAACAACGCGGCGTACCGAATAGCGTGTATCAATTTTGCTATAAACCGTTTTCCATAAATTTCCCCATGTTACGCAGGCGGCTCTAAATCTGCTCGAATGAAATTAAAGTTAGAATAGGTTGGAGAAAGAGGGAGCATAGACATGCAATTGTTAGGATACCTATGTACAATATACCCAAAGTGGTGGAGGGTATCATATAGTCGGCCCAGTCCGACTTTACTACTTTTCTTACTGGTTTTAACCTGAAAATGGGATTTATAGACCCAATCCTTGTACTACCTCTTCATAAAATATCAAAAAGTAAGAAAATGTGTAAACCTAATAGGAATGTGTAAATGTTAAAACCTAATAGGAAGCTTATTGAGGGGTTCGGGCTGGTTTTTTTCTACCAACAATTATCAATATTGTTTTACGATTAGGTATAGCTAGTTTGAAGGTTATAGCCCAGTTTCCATTGTAGTGGTAGTAACTTAGCATACCGAGATATTGGAGGCAAAACACATTTTTTTTTCAAACATTCCATCATAGGGTGGAGTGTAAATTAACTTTGTCATTCCGTTTGCAACACCTCGAAATATTCGCTGGAGACCCAACAAGTTATATATATATATATATATATATGCATTTAGATAAAGATTTAGATAAAGCTCCCATATATATTTTCGTCCGATTTTAGGTAAATGGTGCGCCAAAGTCTCTTTAAGAGTAGCCCCCATAATATGATAACTACCAATATGGGGATTTTGTACACGCTTTTCAATCGAATTGACTGTAATTTTGTATTTTGGGTTTCATAACGGCATCACCACATCTTCGCAGTAAAAAAATTAAAATTGACCCAAGTCGGTATTTTGAGAATTTTGAACATATTTTTACACCAAATTGGCTGTAACTTTTTTATTTTGTATTCTCATTGGCGGTCAAACCTCACTACCAAAAAATATGGATATTGATTTCGGTTTTATTAAAGCCCCGGTAGTCACGGTAGCCCCACTAAAAGATATTTTGAGAGTTACAATCATATTTTTCTCACGTATTTTTTCGGTATGTTCCCATCATAACATGAGTTTTTCATTAATTTTAAATAATTTCATTGTCATTCTCATGGTGGAGGGTATAAAAGGTTCGGCCGGGCCGAACTTAACATCGTTTTTACTTGTCGGTCACATTTCGCCAAATTTTCTCATGGGGTGACTATAATTTGGCATTCCTTGTGAATAATTTTTTTTATAGATATTATTCAATATTGTTTAGTATTTTCAAATATCCCACATACAAATATTCCGTTAAATTCGGAATTTCGAATGCACATTTTAACGATGTTTTATTGTTACCTTTAATTTTTACTTTTCATATTTATTTATTTTTCTTTAATATTCTTTTTTTACATTTCCAGCGATCACATGAAGTCGATTATGTTGCCGATTTTCTTTTGAAAAATTGGGGAAAATTACATGCGTTTCCATATATTGGAACATTGCCAGATCTATTTATTGATATATTCAAACGTATTCTCAAAGTGGGCTATAAACTACCACGCCTGGAATATGTGATGTCAAGAGGTAGAATTCAAATTATGGTTTAAATATGAACATGACTATAATTCTATGTGACTTTCTTTGTGTTGTATACCATTACAGATCCAGATACTTTCGGATATTTACACTGTATCCCTGAAACACATCCTGATATGTTAGCTTTATACGAAAAAGTAACAACAATTGTGAAAAACAATTGGAGAGGTCCCATTGTTTACCTGTTGCCAATCTACAAATACTATTATGCATTCTTGGCGAATAAAATCCAACCAATTGTTGAACAAATCTTTACACAACGTATTCTACCGGATTTGATTGTAAGTATAAACAAGGGGGTAAATTGCACAAATATAGTTGTAGTCTGTCCAATTATAGCATTTATTTTTTTTTAAACAAATGTTGAAATGTATCAACGATAACAACAACTTCACCTAGAATGTTCGGTCTCGATCTTCCTGGTTGTTATAAAATTATTGGAGGAAGGCGTAGTTTAAATCGGTTATATATTTTATTCTACCTTACCATAGGAATCTTAAGAACATCCCTTATATATACCCAACATACTGAAGGGTATAGAAATTGAACTTTTTATACTGGTTTTTGCATAAAGAATAAATGATATTTTCAAGTATAGGTTTTACATAAAATATAGATTTTTTGAAAATTAAAAATCTGATATGAGCAAAAAAATCACTTTAAATTATTACAAGTTTGGCAAACGGAATGACAAATTTAGTATTCATTAAAAAAACTCAATGGAACACTGCACGTAGCGATATTGTTCGATTACAAGTAATTTTAATTATAAATAATGCATGAATTCATATACTATAACAAATTGTATTTCTGCCCACATTACTTAATATTTAAAGCGAATTTTCTTTCCTTTAATGGCAGATTTTACGCCAAATCAATTACAAATAAATTTCATTTTAAATACAGACGTCTGCTGTGTTAATTGCACTCATTCACTTCTCCTCGCCATTTGATATTTAGCAGTTGAATTTTCATAATGAAATTTGTTATTAATTCCACGCGTCATTGAACATAATTAATTTTAAATTAAATAATTAAACATATTTTAGGAAGAACTTTCCCTGCTGACATTTGCTGCATGGGCAAATTGCAATGGTTGATAGTCACGCTGGGTTTATAATTGGAAATCCACAGTTTTTGAGACGGAATGGGGGAAAAAGTAACAACTGTAGTCAATGTAAATTTAATACATTAAAAAAAATCACTTAAATATTAAACATGTAAAATAGGATATAAGTTCCACCGGACCATGACGAAATTGTTAATAATTAAAATAGATATTCCTCAAATAGACCGATTAGGAGTTTAGACACATGAACTTTTTATACCCTCCATCATGAGAATGTTATTTGGATATATATTTGGATATCCAAATTTAATGGGGCTCCTAGAAAATAAGGTCATGTTAAAGTACCATGAACATGCTGAAAAATACGTGAGAAAAAAATGATTGAAATTCTCAAAATATCTATAGTGGGGCTGCCGTTATATGGGGTTATAATAAAACGGAGATCAATATTAATATATATATATATATATATATATGTTTTTTATACCCTTCACCACTCTGTAGTACAGGGTATTATGTCTTTGTGCATATGTTTGTAACAGACAAAAGGAATCGATACAGACCCATGGTTCATCTTGAGAATATGTATAGAATCACTTTTTGAGTCGATTTATCCATGTCCGTCCGTCTGCCCATGTATTTTTGTAAGCAAAGTACAGGTCGCATTTATGATCCGATTTTGATGAAATTTGGCACAGCTCATTTGTTTGGCCCAAGGACGAACCCTATGGAAATTGGGAAAAATCGGTTCAGATTTAGATATAGCTCCCATATATATTTTCATCCGATTTAATGTAAATGGTGTACCAAAGTCCCTATATATCTTTCGATTTGCACGAAATTTAGTATAACGTACTGAATTGGGCCTAGAGTGATGTCTGCCAAATTTCGTGAAAATCGGGCCAGATTTAGATATAGCTCCCATATATATTTTCATCCGATGTAATGTAAATGGTGTACCAAAGTCCCTATATATCTTTCGATTTGCACGAAATTTGGTATAACGTACTGAATTCGGCCTAGAGTGATGTCTGCCAAATTTCGTGAAAATCTGTCCAGATTTAGATATTGCTCCCATATATAGTTTCGTCCGATTTAATGTAAATGGTGTACCAAAGTCCCTATATATCTTTCGATTTGCACGAAATTTAGTATAACGTACTGAATTGGGCCTAGAGTGATGTCTGCCAAATTTCGTGAAAATCGGGCCAGATTTAGATATAGCTCCCATATATAGTTTCGTCCGATTACATGTAAATTGTGCACCAATGTCCCTATATATCTTTCGATTTGCACGAAATTTGGCATAACGTACTGAATTGAGCCTAAAATGATGTCTGGTATGTTTCGTTAAAATCGGTCCAGATTTAGGTATAGCTCCCATATATAGTTTCGTCCGATTTCATGTAAATGTTGCACCAAAGTCCCATATAACTTTCGATTTGCACGAAATTTGGCATAACGTACTGAATTGATGCTGGAATGATGTCTGGTATATTTCGTGAAAATCGGTCCAGATTTAGATATAGCTCCCATATATAGTTTCGTCCGATTTATATCATGAAAATCGATTCATATATATATATATATATATTTTCGTCCGATTTAATCTAAATAATATACCAAGTTCTTATGTTGCATAGCGTTTTGAATTTAATCCAGAATAATGTGTGCCAAGTTTAGTGAAAATCGGTTGTGATTTAGATATAGCTCCCTTATATTATAGATTGATTTTAAGTAATTAACGCACCATGGAACCAATATATGGCTGATAGGAACAAAACGTACTGAAATCAGTATAACCTAACCTGTGACAAGTTTCGTTGAAATCGGTTTATATTTGGATATAGCATCCATATATAAGTAAATTGTGCATCAAACTCCTCATATTTGTTAGATTGACATCAAATTTTGCACAACGTACAAAATTGAGTATAGAATAACGTAGTTGGGTTTCTTTTGATATTTGTTTGAAGTCGACTTACATACTTTTGTTCCATTGTAACAAACGAATGACATGTTTATGGATAGATCTAGGTCGTTTCACATTTAGATAAATATCACATATTTTATTTCATACAATTTCATGATAATAGTCCTGTTTAATATACCCATAGTGGTGAAGGGTATCATATAGTCGGCCCCGTCCAACTTTACTACTTTCCTTGCTGTTTTTTTTTTTTTTTTTTTTTTTGTAGTGAGATTTGACAACCAAGGAGAATACAAGATACCAAATTACAGCAATTCGGTTAAAAAAGTGTCGAAAATTCTCAAAATACTGACTTAGGGTCAATATTAATAATTTTTAATGGGAGGTGTGGTGATATCAAATTACAGCCAATTGGATTGGAAAACGTGTAAAAAACCCCATATTAGGGGGCTACCGTTAAGCGTGGATAAAATATTAATAATCTTTTTTACGGATGTGTGTACAGCCAGTTCGGTTGGAAAACGTCTCAAAAATCCCCAAAATACAGAATATTGGGAGTTACCATTATATGGGGGCTACCCAAAAACATGGATTAATATTAATAATTTGTTATACCCTTCACTGTGGTACATGTCTTTGTACATATATTTGTCCGATTGAGACAAAATTTTGCACTGCGTACTGAATCAAGTCCAGTTTGATGTTTATGAAGTTTTATAAAAATCGGTTCATCGGTGTTTAAAGTTTCATTGAAATCAGATCAGTTATAGATATAGCTCCCATATTTAGTTCGTCCGATTTTAGGTAAATGGTGCTCCAAACTCCAAAGGTTTGTTCGATTTAGATAAAATATTGCGCAGAGTACTGATTTAGGTTCAAATAGACGTATGCGAAGTTTTATTAAAATCGTTATAGTGATATAGCTTCCATATATATTTTGGTCCAATTTCATGCAAATGGTGCACCGAGGAGCTTACGTTTGGTGGCGTTACATGAAATACTGCAAATAGCATAAGATTGATTTAATCTAAATGGTGTACCAAATAATTCAATTTTTTTCGATTGTGACGAATTTCTGCACATCGTTTAATATTGGAGATACAATAACGCGTATTAGGGTTTGTAAAATATACTCATATGTAAATATAACCACTATATAGTTTCGTCTGAGTTCATGCAATTTGTGTACCAAATGAAATTAAATTGTGGACTGCGCAATGTGCTGCAGAATACTAGATGGCATATGTGACGGTTGCTCGATAAGGTCCTGATTTACATATAGCTCCCATACAAAATGTTGCTACATTTCATACAAATGGTACACCAAATTATCCAGGTGTGCCCTAATGACATGCAATTTTTCATAGATATCAGAATGGTATGGTGTATGGTATTTTCATTGCTTCAAATATCTGTGGAGATCACACATTCAATTTCGCCCGATTCAATGGTCCTCCAAAGATGCTTAGTCTGTCAAAAATCACCAAAATCGACATAAAATTTTATTCTGGAGTCTCCGGTGAATATTTCAAGGTTTTGAAAACGCAAAGACAAATTTAATATACACTTTGATATGGGGTATACCGGTCCAATCTTTGTGGTAGGTCCCACCCAATGCTCGGTATTTTGAGGCTTGAAAATTTTCGTTCCTGAAAATTATTAATAATAGTTGCTGTCATTTTATATTATCATTGAGAAGGAAATCTCACTAGGAAAATGTATCAATATCAGCCCTAGTTGTCGGTTAGCACCCATATAATGATACACATCATTATTCTGAATCTGATTTATCATGTTGTCATATCATGTCAAATATTCCAAATATTAGCAGTATCGGTTTACGTACGTTCATTTGAAGGCTTTAGCTGAATTTTCCAAGCAATATTTTATAATGAAGACATTGGACGTTAATTGAAGGATAAACACATTTTTGCTGTCATTGTCTATAGTAGTTCAATTTTTGATTTAGTTCCCACATAATTCGTATTTTTTTTATTGCATATGATTCCATATAAAGATACAAAGATATTAATGGTTTTTGCTGAATTTTCCTCTGTAGTTTAGTGTGCGTTAGAGTACTTGGAGAGCGGAAAAATATATTTTTAGACAATTACAATGTGCAACACAAAAAATGATTACCGGGAAAATCCAACAGATAATGAAAAAGGCGGCGTTTTGAAAGTTTACTTCGGGAGGTAACCAAAAAAGCGGGGGCAACATTCATCCTTTTCAAGAATTTTGATCATTTTCGAATTATGATATCTTGAAATCCTTGCATTTTAGATATATCAAGTGTCTTCGGAAATGTTACTGATAAAATGTCGGGGAATATTTTGGTATACAACATTAACCCTCAACCGACTCATGGAAGGGGTCTTTTCGGTCCCCTTTTTCCAGATGTGATCAAAAACTCATTCAAATCTGGATTAAAGCTTCTCAGAATATTCTACAGAAATTTTCGCCATAATGTTTTACTATAAGTCTTTTTCTTTTTCTCACAAGGTGTCGTTTTTCGACTAAGTTCATTAAAGTTTACTTGAAACTTAAATATTTATATTCAATAGCTTTTAAGAAATTCACAGTATAAAATTATCTATAATAACAACAAAAATGTACACCATTTTACAATTTATTTCAACATTCAATGTCATACTCCTCACTTACTGTTTATATATTTGCAGTCGATTGAAAACGTTATGAAAAAGCTGCGCTCCATTATTGATGAAACGTACGTGTTACGTGATTTTGTTCCCCTGAACCTTTTCATGTTGGATAATCGTCATGTTAAGCAATCGATTGTGACGATGGTACAGCAAATTTATGATTTTATCATTGACTTTTATATGGCTGTAAATCTCAATGAAAATCGTGCGTAAGTAAAGTTACTATGATATATGGATATGTGTGCATGGCTGCGTATTTGTATATGTGTCATCTTGTTTGCATTCAAAATGCACAAGTGTTCTGACAGGTGTGTTGAGTTTATCGATTGGCCTTTTGCAAAGCGTTTTTTTTTTCTTTCATTGAATAGCTGTACAATCCGTATTAAGTTCTGGATATCAAGTGTCACCAAGTATAAAACGGATTACTGAACAAAAAAATCAAATATATTGGAAAAAAATCACATTAAAAAGTGGAATTCAGAAGAAATGAAAATGTTGAAATCGCAATAAATGACAAAAACTTCGAAATTACAATATACATTTGTATAAACAACTCGATTCATTTCTTAATAAATCTCGTAAATATATCGAACTCCATAAAAAGAAAAACCTGTAAGGAAAGTTCAAAAGTCGGACGGGCCGACTATATGATACCCTTCACCACTTTGGTTGCATACAAGAGATCCTGTGGATAGAACAGACATAGAATCTTTGGAGGACCATTGAGATGAAATCGGGCGAAATTAAATATGTTATGTAGATAGATATTTTAACCAATTGAAAAAAACCCAATACACACATCATTCTGAAATCAATGAACAATTGCATGTCAAACGGGCAGTCTTGAATTTTTTGGTGTACCATTTATATGAAAGCGTGTAAAATTATATATGTATGCTATATATAAACACATGGACCTAATTGGTGCATCATTCACATAAAATTGGACGAAACTATATATGGGAAATTACAAAAATCTTTTAAATTCCTTGAAGTTGAGGTTTGCAAGGTTATAACTCGCGAAATATGAACATATTGCATATAATTTAAATTCAATTCTATAAAATGAAGTGTTCTTGTCAAAATCTTGAAATATTGGTAATAAATAATAAGTTGCGTGGAAGCTGTGATGGTGGTAATGTAAAAAAATGGGTGAAAATGTGTTGAAGCCAACGAGTTTTTTTGTGTTCGTTCCCGATTTGTGGCTAAACTACACAACGCACACACATGTGATCAGTGACTAAGTTGCAGAATACCCCATGGACAATATGGTTCTAATGTATGATTTTTCGATATAATCACTGCATCCACCCAAAATGGATGCTGACATTTTGAAGCCGGATTTTCGGTGTTTTTTGAATTTTTCTTATAATTAGGATGCGCATCCAGACAATAGAATAAACTAATTATAGGATCGTAGAACTCGTGATTCTGCTTCGTTTAGTGTATATCTCATGAATGTGCTCACTGTAGCTTCTTTGCAATTGGGTTCCAAAGACGAAAATTTAGTGCGTAAATTTTTATAAAAAACATATTTTTTGAGAAAGTCCATTCAAATTCCGTGGAACCCCGCGTGATTTTAGTTTTTTTACGTGCCGGATCTAATGAGCCCATCCATGTTCAATTCCGCCCATTAAAACGGCGGATATAGGTACCTTGAATGTGGGAAAAACTGCAAAAACTTATTTTGACAAATTCGCGTAAATAATCGCGGTTTTCTTCGGATTAATTTTACATGCATTTATGCTTGTATTGTCAAATTCGCGAATCTGCGTGGAAATAGGTCAAAAATACATCGATACGCGAATAATATGCGTATTTTATCCAAAATTGATTGTGGAGGCACATCCGCGGTTCTTAAACGATCCTTTTAAAATAGGTGTCCTTTTGCGTATTTTCATAGGAGATTACTAAAATCGGATGCGCATAAAAATCGTATGCACGTTGCGTATTTTTAAGCCATTTTTAGGGTTTTTGCATAGTAAAGTGCATCGAGTGGCACACTTTGACCGCTAAATTAAACATTGAAAAATTAATAATTATTGAAAGACATTGATTCGGTTTATACGAAAATCGCATGCGCATCAACTGATTTCAATTAATTCGCGAATTGCAAGCTTTTCAATATTGATCATTTTTATGTATTGTAAATGCAATATATTTAGCCATTAATGACGTCGAAACTCTTATCAGATGAATCTGCCGATATTTAACAATCATCTAAAAGAATTTGCAGAAGAAAGCGTCGTATATTTTAGAAGATTAAGGCAAAACCGTATCCTCTTAACCATAGTAAAAAAATCGAAAATTCAAAAAAAAAAAAAAAATAGTTTTAATTCAAAAATTAATTTATTTTATTTTCCGATATCTTCATGTTTCTATTTGTTTGTCGCGACTATTAAACCGTATTTCAGTGTGATTTGACTAGTATGCAAAGAAAACAATGGTGTTTAAGCATTTGTGAAGAAATTCGCGAATTACAACGAATAGGAATCCATTTAATATATATTTGAAATACAAGATTTAAAACCGCTATAACTTTTGTGCGCAGCATCCGAATTTGTGAACGCGAACAGATTTCGAATCAGCATATTTTTCTTAACCTATGTACCAAAAATCATAAATGTGCTCGCAAAAAAAATTTTCAAAATTTTTTTAATGGAATTTTAAAAGAATTTTGTAATTTCCCATATGGGAGCTATATCTAAATCTGAACCGATTTTGACAAAAATTCGCAGACATCAATCTGGACATAATGTACTGAATTAGGTCCAGATTGATGTCTGCGAATTTCTGTGCAAATTTTTGTCCCAATCGAACAAATATTGGGAGTTTGGTGCATCATTCGCATAAAATCGGACGAAACTATATATTTGAGCTATATCTAAATCTGAACCGATTTTGACAAAACTTCGCAGACATCAATCTGGACCTAATTCAATACTCTGTGCAAAATGTTGTCCCAATCGGACAAATATTCGCAGACATCAATCCGAACCTAATTCAGTACTATGTGCAAAATTTTGTCCCAATCGGACAAATATTGGGAGTTTGGTGCATCATTCACAAAAAATCGGACGAAACTATATATGGGAGCTATATCTAAATCTGAACCGATTTTCTCCAATTTCAATAGGGTTCGTCCTTGATATATGGACAGACGAACATGCGTAAATCGACTCAGAAAAGGATTCTATGCATATTCCCAAATGTCTATCTCGATTCCTTTTGTCTGTTACAACATATGCACAAAGACATAATACCCTGTACCACAGTGTGGTGAAATAGCCCAATAATATTGATTCTCCTCCATGCTTCGCAATAACCTTGAATACTGTGGCATGAGCACAGTATTTTTTTTCTCACGTATTTTTTCACTGTATTTTTTTCAATTGTGAGTCTTTAATATTAAATTTTAATTCACCCGAGATCATAACATTTCTCCACTGAGTTGAATTCCTATTAATATGAGTTTTTGAGATGAAAGTTTGTAGAGCGTACAGGAAACGAGATAGACCCATGGTTTCTTTTAAGAATTTGCATAGAATCGCATTCTGAGTCGATTTATGAATTTTAAATTGTAAACAAAATTCTAAGTCGCATTTATTATCCGAATTGAATACAATTTGGCACATCCCGAGAACGAATTCTACTGAATTTGGAGAAAATCGGTTCAAATTTATATTTATTGCTCCCATATATATTTTCGTTCGATTTTATGTAAAAGGGACACCAAATCCCTTATATTTCCTTCGCTTTACATGAAATTGTGTATAACTTATAAAATGAACATTAATTAATTATGTACGTCTTAAAAAATTAGGACCAGGAAAAGTGTTCACTATAGGGAAAGTTCGTTGTATCCGGTGTTTGATATTAACATACTCGACCGTAGTTTTACATACCTATATAGAGCACATATTTAATTTTATCTGATTTCATGCCACTAATCGACCAAGATGCTACTTATTTTCAATCGACTGACAACCAGAAAAAGACGTATGTTGCACTTGGTATATATCGATTTATATATTACTTTACCTTACAGATTCTTATTGTATGGGTATATTTTGTATTTACCTAAATTGGTTAAGGGTATCATATAGTCGATCCCATCCGACTTCCTTATTAATTTCAAATCGGTGTAGATTTAAATATAATTCCTATATATTCTCTGTCGATTTTATCTCAATAGTGCATCGGTTCAGATTTAAATAATTTTCACCGATTCATATAAATGTTAAATTTAATGAATATTTGTTCAGATTTAGACGCAGTGCCCGTATATATTTTCGATCTGATCTTAATTATTAACAGTTCTCCAACAAAATTGAGCCGTAGCATGATGTTCATTTGGGCCTTTTATATCAGTTTAGATTTAGACATACCTCGATTTCATTTTAATAGTACAACAAATATCCAATAATGGTTCCTTTGCGACGAAATTTTTCTTAGTGTTCCAAACTTATCTTAGGCTTGGTGTAGGCATATCTCCTTCTGCGCCAACGACTCAAGTTCCTTCCAATTGAAATGAAATTACTATAGATGGTCGAATGATAGTTTAATGACTTGGTTGTATACACTATATAATTGCTAAAGGTTATCGGACTTCTGTACGTTCCTTACTGGTTTCCATTAAGCATTCTTAATGATGATAATAAATTTCACCTTATAACAAATACAATTACTTTTTTGTTTAATTTGAAATGCTTAAAATGAATTCAAGCAAACATGATTTTTTTTTGTTTGACAATGTATGGTTGGCCTTTCGACATATTGTCTACACTGCATACAAAATGTTGCATAACATTTATGATTAATAAAATAGCAATAGTCCCCATACAGTTTTTATTTCAAAGTGTCCATGCAATTTTTTTCTAGGCTTGCTCTTTAAGATTATTTTGTTTTCTATTATTGTAAATATGTAACTATGAAACTGTTAGATTTACTTAGCAAATATTCCAAGTAACATCACTTAAATAATGTGGTGGCAGAGTGCGAACATTAACCCTGTTACAGGTTATTATATCTTGGTGACTTTGTATGTTCCGCGTACCAGGAAACATTATATATCACTGTTTGATATCCTATCCTAAAATCTCGCTTAGCTCTTCTTCATAACACAACTGTAAAAACATGCTGACCTGTCCACGTTTAGATGACACAAACACTGTATAACACATATTACAATTATTAGCTCATTCAAACATTTTTTATAATTTTTAGAGCAAGTTTTTTTTTCTAGACTTTTGTTAATTAAACACTTGTTTTATGCTCCCCTTTTTGTTGTTGTTGCTGTTATCTTTCACACTAATCTTGGTACTTAACTCGTATATGCTGCCGGTGCTTTTTCTAATAACGGCTAATGTTTGGCTTTGACTCATTAAAGGATATGTGACGCTCTCGAGGAAATGTCAATGAAAGCAGGTGAACGTCCGGAGGAAACTGCTGAAGTTGTTGCATTACAAAATTACCTGTCAGAATGTCGGGATGAACGTATCTTTGCCATAAAAGATGAAATAAAAATTGTTGCGAAACGTGTCATCTTCTTACTAACACATACACAGCTAACAAGTGAGTATAAAATTGCCTACACAGCTAACAAGTGAGTATAAAATTGCCTAGTAGTGCTAAGAAGACATTCTGTGAAAATATACTTTTTTAATTATGTAATCGATGTGTCATGTATAACGGCAAAATGTCATTTTTTCGAACAAATAGAAATTATTTCTTTGAGAAATATCCAAATTTGCGCCAAATTATACAATTATAAGTGACATATATTTATATCTAAGCCTATTTAAATTAAATTTGACAGACCCCATTCGTGTCGTGTCGTGATGTGGGAAAAATATCTTAACATAGAGATTACTTAAAAATCTGAAATTTAATTTTTAAACTTAAATGTTTTATTTCTAAATGAATATTTTGAAATCGAATTTAATTTTAGAAAGAAGCTAGCAAAGAATCGAAATCACAAAAAAAATAATTTATATAAATTTACTTAGATAACTTTGGTTTTGTATTTTTTTTTTAGTTCTTTCAAATGGACGTTAATCTGAAGCGTTAATATTATATGTTAAATTCCGTGTCCAGCATTGACAGAAGAGCTATATCTAAATCTAGACTGATTCAAATCACGCTTGAAACATATTTTTATAATCATTTCGATAACATTTCGACAAACGTATCGTATTTGGTGCACCATTTAAATTATATCGGACCTATTTTATTCGGTGACATATTCAAATGAATTCAGACGAAACAATTTATGAAAATTAAAATTATTAATCAACATTTAAAGTATGATGTATTTAAAATTGGAAATATTGTTTCGGTTATAGTTCCCCAAAATATCGCTAGACCCTTTTCGCTATTTAGACGGATTTATCTGAACATTCCCACCGAAGGGAGGAAAAACGTATTTACAAAAAATATTCAATATAGGACCCTGTTTTGACATATACCCCATTTATGGTCCCACAAAATATTTCCGTCCGATTTAAGGTAAATATTGTACCAAAGTTCTTATCTATCTTTTCGATCTATCTTTCGATTTTTTTTTTTAATTTGGCACCAGAAGCTTATTTTCAAGCATTATTTGACTTATAGTATTAGGTTGTGTAAAATTTTTGTCAAATCGGTCAGACCTTTTGCATGATATTATATAATTAACCATGAGCAACATGTTTGTCATTTTGTGTGGGAGGTACCAGAAACAGTGAAGCAATATTATCCATCTTCGAACCTGATTTTGGAAGTTTGGAAGATGTTTCGATGGTCAAGCAAGACAAACGGGCGGATATTTGTAAATAGACTCCAAATTGTCTGAAAAGGATTTGGTCCAATGAAACATGGGATCTGAAATTAATATTTTGATACGACATATTTTTGTCACAGCAAAGTGTATCCATAGGATGAGGATATAACAAGGACATTTTGTTATTTGTGAACTTACATTCACAACAATTCCGTAGATTTTCTAGAAATAGTTGTCATAACTTCGAAGTTAATTTCATCTACTATACTTTCAGGTGAGGATATTCACTTAAATACGCGAACATTTGTGTTGCCCTCGGAATTAGAGGAAGTCTTAGATCTAAGCGCTGCGCGTCTCAATGTTGTGCGTGATAATTTGGAATTTGCTCTGCGGTAAGTAGCCGGACGTTAGGCATCAACATCAATGCAATTGCCATACGTATGCGTTCGTGTATGTGTGGGTGTGTTTTTGTGTTATTAAACTTAACATTCATTGCAGTGAAAAACGTGTAAAATTCGAGCAATTAATTTTGTATGAAAAACGTCGCATGGATGGCTTTCGTGTTAAAGAAACTCGTGATGTTCTTACTTTGGATGAGCTTAAGGAACGTGTCGATACTGTCGATGAATTATTCGATCTTATCGAGGTAAGTACCACAACGTTGGCTGGTTATTCCATTTGCCGAATACACACCAGTACATTGTGTGTTCGTTCCGCTTAACTGTAGTGCCGTAGAAAGCACCTGGTGTACCGGGAGCAGTGGCAAATATTTAGTTTCTATGATTTGTCTTTCGTTTGGCTTTTATGCGTTTATCGATTTTCAATATTTTCTCTTTGTCGTGTGTGTAAGTGTGCTTTTGTTTTTTCATTGCGATAGAATCTCAGTCGTGAGGCAAAGGCAATTAATATCGAGGAACAATTGTTACAAATTGATGTCTCGCCGTTTGCTACATTGGCAGAAATCGTGGAAAAAATGGAACCCATCGAAAAGCTCTGGAAAACGGCATATGAATTCGAAAAGAATCATTTAATATGGTAAGTGATATGACCACATCTGTAGAACGGAAGTAGAATGAATATAAATATTAAACGTTGGAAACAAGCAATGTTCACCAATTGAATAATGGAATAAGGCTGAACAGTATGCAATGTAAACATATTTACATATGTACTTATATGTTTACATTGAAATGGTATCCAATTAGCACTTTTCTAGGCATTCGTAAAAACAAGGGAAATTATTTCCACTTCCAAAACACGGAAATAAAGGAAGTAATATTCTATGTGCACTACTACGTAAAGTGAACTAATATTTATTTCTTTAAATCGGTTCAAATTTAGACCAAGAAAAAATAGATATTTAAATTTACCTTAAAATTGTTTCTATTTACACGACTGCGTTTAAGTCTTCTTCTTCTAGAAACGAGAGTCTTGAGCTCATAACTGAACATTGATACTTATACTATCCTTACACTTGATGTATTTTTGCAGGATGTACGAACGATTTCAGTGTTTAAATGCGGATGTCATAGCAGAGGAAATAGAGAACATGTACCGGGTAAGTAGGAAGCAATTGATGGAATTACAGCATGACCACCCTTTTTCCGAAGAGAAATTGTAGTAGAAGCAGAATATAGCGGAACAAACGGCAATAAGGCAAATGTAGTAGCAATGTACTTGCTGGAAAAATGCATTCACATCAAGAAAAGCCTGGGAACTGAACTGACCTGTTACCGTTTAGGCACGGTGAAGTGAATTCAAGGAAGGGGCGTCACGCTTAATTCACAACTAGCCTGGCAAACTGTCTGGGTATCGTAAGCAGCAATAAGGAAGCAAAAATACAAACTGAAACGTATTCTTGAGCCATCAAACGGAAAATGTGAAGGCACAGATACAAGAGATACATAATAGGTCAAATCTAGTTAGATTCGCAATCTCACGCATCATTGCATTTATCCTCGAAGTTTTTTTCTGATATTTAAAAAAATAGTAAATTGTCATATACCTTTCATGGAAATATGTATAGTTTAAATATATTTCCATAAAATATATTAATTGAAATATTTGTTTATAAATATATGTAAATATGCTTTCAGATTGTCTACAAACTATCCCGCCAGCTAGCTTATAATCCTGTGGCTAAACGTGCCGCTGAACAAGTCCGTGTTAAAATTGAGAAATTCCGGGTATATTTACCGGTATTGGACGCCATCTGCCGTCATGGCTTAGAGGATCGCCATTGGGAAATGATATCCCAACATATGGGCAAAGAATGTAATCCAGCGCTTTACCCGAGTCTGAAGGACATGATAGATGCTGGCATCATGTCTATACTGCCCCAACTGGAGGAAATTTCCATTGCAGCGGGCAAAGAATACGATTTGAATCAATTGCTGGAGAATATGCGCAACGATTGGAAATCCGTTTGCTTTGATGTTTTACAGTACCGTGATTCCGATACCCATATTTTGGCCTCTTTAGATGATATCCAAACACTGTTGGACGATCACCTTATGCGTACCCAAGCCATGAAGAGATCACCTTACATTGTTGCTCTTGGCTCTAAGGCTGATGATTGGGAAAAGCGTTTGGCACTTATACAAAATATTATGGATACCTGGACGGAAGTCCAAATTACATGGATGTATTTGGAACCGATATTTTGCTCCGAAGATATTATGCGCCAAATGCCGCAAGAAGGTCGTAGCTTCAAGGCGGTAGATAAGATATGGCGTCGTATCATGCGTCACACTTTGGATGATTTACATGTAATGGCAGCCACAGATTATCCAGATATGTTGAATATATTCAGAAAAGCCGTTGAGGATTTGGAAACAGTTCAAAAGGGATTGAACACATATTTGGAACAAAAACGACTGTACTTTGCACGTTTTTTCTTTTTATCGAACGACGAATTATTGGAGATTTTGTCCGAGACAAAGGATCCATTGCGTGTCCAACCACACTTGAAGAAATGTTTTGAAGGGGTAAGTAGGGCATGAATGAAGATGAGTATGCAATTTCCGGTAACAAATTGTATCAGATATCACAGCTAACATTTGATGATAATTTGGAAATAACCGGCATGGTGTCCGACGAAGGAGAGAAAGTAGCAATGGTCAGGAAGATTAATCCGCAGACTGCAAATGTAAGTACACAAATAAATAAATGTATTAAAAAAATAAAATAAACCAGTAGGTAAAGTAGGAAAGTCAGACGGAGCCGACTGTATGATACCCTACACCACTTTGGGTATATACAACAGATGCAATCGAAAATAATGGAGAACAAAATAAAAATTTTAATTTCTTATATAGTTGTCAGAACATTTTTAAAAATCCGCGCCTAATATTTGTTTAAAAGTCCTCACCTTATAGAGTTGTCACAAAAAAATTAAACTCCACGCCTTTTATATTTGGCAGAAAAAAAATTAAACTGCACGCCTTATATAGTTGCCAGAAAAAAAAAAATAGAAAAACAATCACAAAATATTATTTAACAAATCCACGCCATATATATGTCCGATGAGGTGTTACCAACAGAATAACAAGTGGAGGATATAATATTTAATTTTTAATATTATATCATGTCACATTGTTTTTCATTTTACACTCTAAAAAAAACATCGGCTCAATTTGTGTATAAAACACAGTTTCTTTGTATATTTATTATTTACATGTCCTAAGGGTCTCGTTGAAATCTGGCTGAAAGAAGTTGAGAGTGCCATGCTGGACAGTGTCAAAGAACAAATGAAATATGCTTGGGATGATTATTTTGCTGTTGAACGTATTCAGTGGGTTGTATCCTGGCCGGGGCAAGTTGTACAATCCATCTCATGCATGGCATGGACATATGAGGTTAATATCGAATTACATTTATACGTCATATGCTATAAACTCTAAAACTTTGCATTTAATTTCAAGGTTGAGGAAGCCATCGAAACGTTTACTTTGCCAACATACATGAATAAACTAAACTCACAGATTGGAGATTTGGTAAATCTGGTTAGAACAGATCTAAATAGCGGGACCAGATTAACAATTGAGGCATTAATTGTTCTCGATGTTCACGGTAAGTAAGGAAATATTAAGACTATGACCAATTCTGCAATTTGTATTTCACCAATAGATCGCGATGTGGCCAAATATTTATTGGATGTTAATGTCACCTCATTACTAGATTTCGATTGGTTATCTCAGCTGAGATATTACTGGAAAACTACAGAAAGTAAGTTTTGAAGTTTTTTTTTTTTTTTTTTTTGTTTTGTTTTTGGTATACAGTTACAAAATTTCAATTACACCCTTCAAATTAAATAGAACGCGAAGAATGGGTCTGTGTTAGTATGGTTGTGACCGATGTCAAATATGGCATGGAATATTTAGGCAACACCACCCGTTTGGTAGTAACTCCCCTTACCGATCGTTGTTATAGGTAAGACTACTGAAAATATTATTCTACACAACATTTATAGAAGTAGATTTTTCCCACTACTCTTCCTTTCGGCACTTCGGCATTTTAACATATTGTTTTTTTTTTAGAACACTCATGGGTGCTTTAAAACTTTGTCTGGGTGGAGCACCCGAAGGTCCAGCTGGAACTGGAAAAACAGAAACATGTAAAGATCTGGCCAAAGCTGTAGCCAAAAAATGTGTCGTCTTTAATTGTTCGGATGGTTTGGATTATAAGGCGCTAGGTAAATTTTTTAAGGTATGTATATTTTTCAAAATAAAGACAAAATGAACAATTAAATGAGGCTAATAACACAGTAACGATTACCACTAAACACGGCGTTGACGGTATTTCAAACGACGAACAGTTTTGTATTCATAGCCGTTTTCACCCAAAACAGCAGATTCTTGAGGTTCCTCGGCAGATTTAACTTCGACTACAGATTCAGTGGCCGATTCTTCAGCTGGGGGCAAGTACTCGTTGGAAATTTCAGAAACATCACGACGTTGACGGTATTTCAAACGACGAACAGTTTTGTATTCATAGCCATTTTCACCCAATACAGCGGATTCTTGAGGTTCTTCGGCAGATTTAACTTCGACGGCAGATTCAGTGACCGATTCTTCAGCTGGGGGCAAATACTCGCTGGCAATATCGGAAACATCACGACGTTGACGGTATTTCAAACGACGAACAGTTTTGTATTCATAGCCATTTTCACCCAATACAGCGGATTCTTGAGGTTCTTCGGCAGATTTAACTTCGACTACAGATTCAGTGGCCGATTCTTCAACTGGGGGCAAGTACTCGTTGGAAATTTCAGAAACATCACGACGTTGACGGTATTTCAAACGGCGGACAGTTTTGTATTCATAGCCATTTTCACCCAATACAGCGGATTCTTGAGGTTCTTCGGCAGATTTAACTTCGACTGCAGATTCAGTGGCAGATTCTTCAGCTGGGGGCAAGTACTCGTTGGAAATTTCAGAAACATCACGGCGTTGACGGTATTTCAAACGGCGGACAGTTTTGTATTCATAGCCATTTTCACCCAATACAGCGGATTCTTGAGGTTCTTCGGCAGATTTAACTTCGACTGCAGATTCAGTGGCCGATTCTTCAGCTGGGGGCAAGTACTCGTTGGCAATTTCGGAAACATCACGGCGTTGACGGTATTTCAAACGACGAACAGTTTTGTATTCATAGCCATTTTCACCCAATACAGCGGATTCTTGAGGTTCTTCGGCAGATTTAACTTCGACGGCAGATTCAGTGGCCGATTCTTCAGCTGGAGGCAAGTACTCGTTGGCAATTTCAGAAACATCACGGCGTTGGCGGTATTTCAAACGACGAACAGTTTTGTATTCATAGCCATTTTCACCCAATACAGCGGATTCTTGAGGTTCTTCGGCAGATTTAACTTCGACTGCAGATTCAGTGGCAGATTCTTCAGCTGGGGGCAAGTACTCGTTGGAAATTTCAGAAACATCACGACGTTGACGATATTTCAAACGGCGAACAGTTTTGTACTCATAACCATTTTCACCCAAAATAGCGGATTCTTGAGGTTCTTCGGCAGATTTAACTTCGACTGCAGATTCAGTGGCCGATTCTTCAGCTGGGGGCAAGTACTCGTTGGCAATTTCGGAAACATCACGGCGTTGACGGTATTTCAAACGACGAACAGTTTTGTATTCATAGCCCTTTTCACCCAAAACAGCAGATTCTTGAGGTTCTTCGGCGGATTTAACTTCGACTACAGATTCTGTGGTCGATTCTTCAGCTGGGGGCAAGTACTCGTTGGCAATTTCGGAAACATCACGACGTTGACGGTATTTCAAACGACGAACAGTTTTGTATTCATAGCCATTTTCACCCAAAACAGCGGATTCTTGAGGTTCTTCGGCAGATTTAACTTCGACGGCAGATTCAGTGACCGATTCTTCAGCTGGGGGCAAGTACTCGTTGGCAATTTCGGAAACATCACGGCGTTGACGGTATTTCAAACGACGAACAGTTTTGTATTCATAGCCATTTTCACCCAATACAGCGGATTCTAGAGGTTCTTCGGCAGATTTAACTTCGACGGCAGATTCAGTGGCCGATTCTTCAGCTGGAGGCAAGTACTCGTTGGCAATTTCAGAAACATCACGGCGTTGGCGGTATTTCAAACGGCGAACCGTTTTGTACTCATAACCATTTTCACCCAAAGCAGCAGATTCTTGAGGTTCTTCGGCGGATTTAACTTCGACTACAGATTCAGTGGACGATTCTTCAGCTGGGGGCAAGTACTCCTTGGCAATTTCGGAAACATCACGGCGTTGACGGTATTTCAAACGGCGGACAGTTTTGTATTCATAGCCATTTTCACCCAAAACAGCAGATTCTTGAGGTTCTTCGGCAGATTTAACTTCCACTACAGATTCAGTGACCGATTCTTCAGCTGGGGGCAAATACTCGTTGGAAATTTCAGAAACATCACGGCGTTGACGGTATTTCAAACGACGAACAGTTTTGTATTCATAGCCATTTTCACCCAATACAGCGGATTCTTGAGGTTCTTCGGCAGATTTAACTTCGACGACAGATTCAGTGACCGATTCTTCAGCTGGGGGCAAGTACTCGTTGGCAATTTCGGAAACATCACGACGTTGGCGATATTTCAAGCGACGAACAGTTTTGTATTCATAGCCATTTTCACCCAATACAGCGGATTCTTGAGGTTCTTCGGCAGATTTAACTTCGACTACAGATTCAGTGGCCGATTCTTCAGCTGGGGGCAAGTACTCGTTGGAAATTTCAGAAACATCACGACGTTGACGATATTTCAAACGGCGAACAGTTTTGTACTCATAACCATTTTCACCAAAAATAGCAGATTCTTGAGGTTCTTCGGCGGATTTAACTTCGACTACAGATTCAGTGGACGATTCTTCAGCTGGGGGCAAGTACTCGTTGGCAATTTCGGAAACATCGCGACGTTGGCGATATTTCAAACGACGAACAGTTTTGTATTCATAGCCATTTTCACCCAATACAGCGGATTCTTGAGGTTCTTCGGCAGATTTAACTTCGACTGCAGATTCAGTGACCGATTCTTCAGCTGGGGGCAAGTACTCGTTGGCAATTTCGGAAACATCGCGGCGTTGACGGTATTTCAAGCGACGAACAGTTTTGTATTCATAGCCGTTTTCACCCAATACAGCGGATTCTTGAGGTTCTTCTGCAGAGTTAACTTCGACTACAGATTCAGTGGCCGATTCTTCAGCTGGAGGCAAGTACTCGTTGGCAACTTCAGAAACATCACGACGTTGACGATATTTCAAACGGCGAACAGTTTTGTATTCATAGCCATTTTCACCCAAAACAGCGGATTCTTGAGGTTCTTCGGCAGGTTTAACTTCAACTACAGATTCAGTGGCCGATTCTTCAGCTGGGGGCAAGTACTCGTTGGCAATTTCAGAAACATCACGACGTTGTCTGTATTTAAGACGTTTTACAGTCCTGTACAAATATCCATTGTCACTTAGAGCAGCCGATTCGGACGCAGAAGCCAATGTAACAGTGTCTTCCGTTGGTGGCAAATAATCATTAGCAGGACTATCGATGGCAGCTGAAGCGGCTATAGCCAATATCGAAAATGCTACCACGAAAATTCTCTAAAAAGTAAACGAATCGATTAATATACAATAGGCTTTGAAACGATTGAGAATTACCATTTTAATGTTTGCAACCAAGCTATCTATTGGAGAGTTTAATTTGGAAGGGTCACTGTATGTGAAGATGTGTTCTCGCCAGAGGAGGTGGCTAGAATGAGGTTTACCTTTACCTCCACCAATTTATATAGACCAAGAAATGAACAGCTCAACAACGAACAGCTTAAATGTCATGAAATCTGTTCAGCTTAACCCTGTATTGAATGTTATGTTACATTTTCAAGTGGACCCTTGTCTCTAAAAAGTATTAATTGATTATCCATTATGGACTATGAACTGTGGTGGCAGTTAACCTTGATAGTATTCATGTATGTATCTCGTTCGTTTACTCTTTGTGTTTGTGAACTTTCTTGGTTGGTAAACATGTTGGGCTCTTCAATACAACTTGAAGTACTTGAGATTCTCAAGAAGTGGGCTACATGTTGTGTGGCAAATGAGTTGATCATGGTAAGGAAATATGTTTGAATAGGGTGGAAGCAGTTTGTCTATGTAGATAATTGATAATGGTTTCCATCCAAAGTTTGTATAACTAAATGCACTCTTACATGTTGAAGGTTTCATTATTATTAAAATCAGATTTTGGTAGCCAATAACATTAATTAGCTAGTTTTATTTAGAAATTTGTACCTAAAAGAATTGTGTTTTTCTTTTTTGGTAAATTAACATTTTCGCTGTGCGACAGGTTTTTCTGGGTCACTTAGAAAATTAATTTTATAACGGTGGATGTAGAGAAAAACGTGGTTCCATAGATTTTCAAGTTGAAACTCGAATTACTTATTTACTTTATAACGGATTTATATATATTCGAAGAGTAGAATTTTTCCTTTCAAACAAGATATATATTTAGTAAATCGGTTAAGGATTGAAAAAAAATACACATAAAAAGATAAAATTTATTTTTCTTTGGACTGTACGATGAAATTATGATATCAAGCCGCATATTTTTCAACGCTTTAAGTCCAATTGAAACTATAAATATAATTTTTCCCAGAGAGTTTTGGTATTTTGCTGTAAAATTTATTGATAAAATGGATAACTCGATTTTAGCTGAGCCAAAACATATGCAAATCTGACAAATTTAAATATCGTTATTTTAGGTATCACAGTTTATATTTTGGTCATAACAACCAAATAGGAATGATAAGCGATAAATTCGGGTTGGGGTTAAAAAAACTCATTGAGGTCAAAAAGAAAAACTCATTATTGGAGATTATACGATTGAAGTATCACTAAGAGAGATGTCTGAAGAATATAATATCACTAGAAGTTCAACATGCAGTTAATCAAAATATAGCTATTCATACATAATTTTGTTCGATATCATACAAACGGTAGACCAAAGGCCTTAACTTGATATCCATAGATTTAACATCGGTTCATATATCTATATATATCACATATTTAATTTCGTCCGATTTCTTACCAATGGTCATCCATATCTTTTATATCGAATGCTGATTTTAAATCGGTATGTATATTTTATTACATATTTCTGTAAGTTACAATAAGTATCTTAGGAGCATATTTTGTATATAGGGTACATATTTAGTATAGAGTAAATGGAGCACCAATTACATTAAATCGGACGAAAATATATATGGGAGCTATATATAAATCTGAATCGATTTTCACGAAACTCAACACATATTAATCCGGGCTTAATTCAGTACGCTCTGCCAAAGTCCGTGGAAATCGAAAGATATATAGGGACTTTTGTACACCATTTACATTAAATCGGACGAAAATATATATGGGAGCTATATCTAAATCTGAACCGATTTTCAGGAATCTTAACACTCATCTTTCTAGACTTAATTCAGTACGCAATGCCAAATTTTGTGCAAATCGAATGTTATATAGGGACTTTGGTGCACTATTTACCTAAAATTGGACGATAATATATATGGGAGCTGTATCTAAATCTGAACCGATTTTCCCTAGATTCAATTCAACATCATATGCCAAATTTCGTGCAAATCGAAGAATATATAGGGACATTGGTGCAACATTTACATAAAATCGGAGGTATATATATATATATGGGAGCTATATATAAATCTGAACCGATTTCAATAGGATTCGTCCTTGGGCCAAAGAAATTAAAATGCGACCTATACTTTGTTTACAATTTAACATGGACAGACATACGGACGGACGAACATGCATAAATCGAATTAAAAAGCGATTCTATGCATGTTCTCGAAAGGAACCATGTGTCTATCTCATTTCCTTTTGTCTGTTACAAAATGCACAAACACATAATACCCTGTACCACGGTGTGGTTAGGGGTATAGCAAATGTTCTGTCCATGTTTTTACTTCATCTTTTCCGCAAAATATTATTTAATGTCAATATTCAATTTAAATGGATTTATTAATCAGTAGGAAAAAGTAAATATAATGCACTTGAACATTCATCCATTTGCTGCAGATATATGTACGTACGTATATTGTTTTCGCAATAGTCATAAACAAAGGTATCCTTCATATATATCCTTCATATCAGAAAAGGATATCAGCGTCCTTATAATCAGTGCATTCTTTAAATCCACTTGTTTAGAAAATAAATATTTATTCGTATTGGAAAATGAAAGAAGCTGTGGTGCGCTTGAAAAAAAAACTAAGCCAAAGTACTAGACTCACATCCATATTGCACCCCCACCTTCGTCACAAACAAATAAAACAAAAATGACAAAGCAAACGAATGGAAGAAAGAATACACAGAGAAATGCCATGCCTTGAAATCACCATTGGATAACAAAGCACATTTATTAAACCAATAAGGGGTCTAAGGATAATAAACATGAGCATTCTTGTTGCCGAACATAAAAGCCATAAATTGCAATAAAGGCATTGGAAAACAATGGCACTATCGGTACAAAGTCAAAGAATGAACTATTTCTTGGGGGCAGCATACAAGAACAAATTCATAGATACGAAATAAATTCGTAGCCCTGTTGTGTTCGGATTTAATACACTCATCCGTAACCAATAGGATGTGAATAAACAGGAGTATGCGGAGATTTTAATCTACAAATATATAGCCATGCATTTACACAAATTGCCTATCGATAATCAAACAAAATTTAGTCATATAATAAATACACCAGAATTGTTTATAGTGGAACCAATATAATGCATCCATTCATATCCAAATAGTGAAGCTATACGAGTATTTTGTTTCACAATACCTTGCAAACAATAATATCCAAATGTATTATGGGACACTTTATCGAAATGCCCAAAGTAATGCGATATTGTCGCTCTAACCTGAAAGAAAATGTTTTTCATATTTATTATTTTTTTACCTCTCTATTTTTCAAAATTTAAATTAAAAAAAAAAACAATATTCCAACAATTTAAGGCTCATATGCATGAGATGCAAAGGAAGCGAAATAATTGCACATACAGAAATCGGTAACATGTGTGCCTTTTTTCACTTCATTCCAAACGGATCCATAGTTACCATTGATTTAAAAGTAAAGGACATGTGGGTAACGGAGGAGTGATTGAATGCCAAAAAAAGCTGATGCTGCTCTTTTTTTATAAGGCTATCACCAACATCCACTGCGTCTTGCGATTTTTGCGATTTCATTCCTTTTTTATATATATTTATGGGTTTTTTTTTCTTTGCAATAATGGCAAACCACGACGACAATGAAGAATATAAAACTCTTTACCTCACAAGACCACCGTCTCACTCACTTTGCATGTAACAAATATGTTTGTATTGCTCACTTTTCTGTTTGTTTTGTTAATGTTTCCCCTTTTCATTGGATATTTTAGGGTTTAGCACAATCCGGCGCCTGGGCATGTTTCGATGAATTCAATCGTATCGAATTGGAGGTATTGTCAGTTGTTGCTCAACAGATATTGACGATACAACGAGCCATTGGCAGGAAAGTTGTGCGTTTCTATTTTGAGGATACAATGCTGCGCTTGGATCCAACATGCTCGATATTCATTACCATGAATCCTGGGTAAGTTTAATGTACAAACAGCAACAACAGTGACTGCTGTGGTTGCTGCATACCAGTAAAATGCTGGGACCACAAATCTGAAAGCAACAATGCCATTGATAACATTGTGTTATACACTTTCACACAGACAACCTCTTGTTAGAATCGGTATACATGAATTTGTTCCCTGTATACAAGGATGATACAAATGGTATTACAGAAGACTGCTGTTGTTATACTCTGTTTTTCTTTTTATTTCTTTTTCTTACTCCATTTTCTGCAATTCTTACTGTCATTTAGTTTATTTAGGGGGATGAATTTCCCTGGAAGTACATAATTGGCGATATCATATTAGTTTATCTTGGAATTTGAAACATCTACAAATGTTAATAGCAGGGCATGCCAATTTGTCATATAGATGGTATAGAATAAATCTTCAAAATTTCTGAAAAGGGAGGTTTTATCAAAAAAATGGACCATAATGGATAATGAGCTTTGCTACGGCAAAAATATCCCTCATCGAACTCAATAATTTAAGTGTTGAGTTTCTCGTCGTACTGACAAATCTTACGTCATTTATATTGGCACAGATTTGTGTCCATCTGGCATTTCACGGCAAGAGTACATCGATGTATAGCACTGTGACAAATTTTCTTCGGTCCCTACTTGCGTTCTGTATTTTGTCGGAAGCAGATGCGCTCTGAAATGTTAGATACTTTTACCGTTATAATTACTACGTTTTTGTCTCTACACCTATTTCGATTCTTATAGATCAGTTTTAAAAGGATTTTATTACAATAACATGTTTCTATTTTCAATTTTGACTTACAGTCAAAAACATTTATATAACCAGTAGAAAGGAAAGATCAAAAGTCGGACGGAGCCGACTATATGATACCCTTCACCACTATGGGTACATACAAGAGATGATAATGTGTACAATATCCTGTAGATAGAAGAGACATAGCATTTTTGGAAGACCATTGAAATGGAATCAGGCGAAAAATTGTGATTTGCATAGATATTTGAACCAATGAAAAACATACACATACCATTCTGAAATTTATGCAAAGTGTCATGTCAATCGGGCAGACTTGGATTTTTGGTGTAATATTTGAATGAAAGCCAGAAAAATTATGTATGGGAGCTCTATTTAAATCTGAACCGATATCAACAAAACATCACAGACATCAAGCTGGACTTAAGGTGACCCCCCATTCTCGGGGTCATTTTTTATATATTTATTTTTTTATTTAATTAGAATCTACACTAATTCAAGAATGTCCCTACAAAATTTCAAGTGAAAATCTCAAGAACTCTTGAAGATATAGCCGATTTATTGTGTCAGCATCAAGTGACGGCTGAAGGGCTTCTCAAACTTTAAACGAGTTTTTTCTTTTTTGAGAATGGCGGCCACGATAACTCAAAAACTAATAACCCAATCGATTCCAAATTTTGTACACGTTTCTCTGTGAGTGTATAGCTATCGTATGAACTAGGATGAAGTCAGTCGGTGAAGATCTTCCTTATTTTTTAACTTGGTTTTTGGTCAGAAATCGGCGATTTTCCAAAAATATTTTCTTCAAAGTTCCACCATTTTATTAATTTTAGAGCTAAGTCAATAATCCTAGTTCATACGAGAGCCAGACATGTACTCTTTCTAACACCATTGGAATTTTCGGATTCCGATATGTTCAGTGAGGAGTTATCATGCCCGCCATCAAAAATAAGGAATTTTCTTTAAATACAAAAAACAACAACAAAACAATAACAAAAATTGTTTGTAAATTATTTTTCTTCTCTTTAAAATATCCAAATATATATGTGCAAAGTTACAAACCTTAACAAGCATTGGTATTGATTTACCAGCACATTGAAAATCTTGAAAAATTAAAATCGTGAAGAGGGGGGTTCCCTTAATTCAGTATGATGTGCAAAATTTTGTCTCAATCGGACAAATATTGAGAGTTTGGGGCATCATTCAATCGAGCAAATATTTTGAGTTTGGTGAGTGGTATATATGGAAGCTATATCTAAATCTGGACCGATTTCAGCAAAACTTCACAGACATCAAATTGGACTAAGTCTAGTGCGCAGTGCAAATTTTTGTCTGAGTCGGACAAATCTTAGGAGTTTCGTGCACCATTTACATAAAATCGGATCTGAACCGATTTCCACAAAATTTCACAGTTGTCAAATTGGACTTAATTCAGTATGTTGTGCAAAATTTTTTTGGAATCGAATAAACATTGGAAGATTGGATGAAATTCGGACGAAAATACATATATGTATATATATATAAATTGGAACCGATTTTCTCCAATTTCAATAGGGTTCGTCCTTGGGCCAAATTTCATCCAAATCGGATCATAAATGCGACCTGTACTTTGTTCTCAAAAATAAATGGACGGACGGACATGCATAAATCTACTCAGAAAGTGACTCTATGCATATTCCAAAAAGGAACCATGGTTCTATCTCGTTTCCTTTTGCCGGTTAAAAATATATGCACAAAGACCACTGTGCTGAAGGGTATACAATAGCCGATAAAACAGCTTATTACAAGTGATTGCGAAAATAATTTATCACATAAAATTATTTTGGAGAAATGTTCCATAAATAAATTCGTGACTTCTTGAATTATAAGATGGTTTTATTCAACTATATCAGTAGTGACTATTCAACCCGGAGGAATTGGCGCAAAAAACATCAGTTCGTACTGATCATGAAATGGCTATTATAGTAAAAATAAAAAAACGCATTTAAAAGCCCTACGGAATTGGTGAGAGGGTTATCATTGGATGCATCCTTCAAAACATAGCCTGTGCGAGCTATGGTAGCAAGTCTATATGCCCGGATACCATCAAGAATTTTCTAACATTTCTAAAAAGAATCCTTCTAAAAAATCTGAAAGCCGGATTGGATTTCGCAAAAGTACATATTCATTGGAATCATACTCAGTGGATAAATATTATGTCCTCGGATGAATAATATGAATTATTGAAATTTTTTACGAGATTGACAAATGTGTTGAAAAACGCTTTGGTTCCCTCGGCTCAAGAAAATATAGTGTTGTTTCAGGTTGACAATTACCAGCAAACATATTCCGAAACATATCAAAGCTTGGTTGCGGAAGTAACAAATCTGGATTTTATAATGGCCAACACACTATAACTTTATTTAAAAAAGTCACAGGTCATTTATTCAGTTTGCAATATCAGTTTCTTTAGTTTTTGCCACCAGTTTATATATACAAATGCGGTCAAAATAATAGTAGTGGGTATGGCAACAATTTTAAATAAGTAAAAAGGGCTTCAAATATTTATGAATGTTTTGAAATTTTATTTTTTAACATCGTTAGTTTTATAACATAAAGTTTAAATGCAATAAAAACATAATTTGAATTAAAGTTCGCTATATAAATTTGAAAATATTTAAATTAATTCAAATATTGTCGGTCAAAATAATAGTAGTGTTATCGATTTAATGTATATTAACCCTTTGAGCCCCGAATTTTTTTCCGTAATCATAGAACAATTGTCTGTTCACAGATTTAATGCAACTATCCTAGATAGGATATGGACGAAGTTTGACATCGCTATACTCTTGCATTTGGGAGATACAGTACATTCTTTCTGTAAAGTCAAAGCCCTATTTCAAGAAAACCAAATTCAAAATCGATGAAAAGATCATTTTAAATTATTCTCTATATTCTGTTTTACAAGAATCAAAAATAATTCTGATGACAGAATTCCTACATTTCGAACACGAAGCGATTTAAATAATTTGGACTGTATACACAAATTAGTATTGTACACATTTTTGTCCTTTTCTCTGTATTTAAAAGCTCATAACTTTACCAAAAATATGAATTTTTGAGATTTTTCTTGTGATATGTGTCGTTCATAATCAGGTCTTGACATAGAAGATCCAAAGAATGAATATCTACTAGCTGTATAATAAATATAAGCTTTGAAACATTTTGTTGCCTGTGGGCAACATTGGGCCACAAAGGGTTAATAACTACAAGAAATAATAGGTCGGCTATTTCATTTAGGAATTTTAGTCAGCATTTAGTGGCAAAAGATTTGCCACAGCGCAATTACAGCGGCACAGCGTCGTGGCATGGAGTTAATCAAATTTTGTGTTGTTGCTTGTAGGTTTTGTTTGCGCAACCACGGCCTTTACCATAAATTCTCAATGGGATTGAGATCAGGAGACTGTGCTGGCCATTCCAATACCCTTATGTTTTTTTTCTGCAAACCACTGTTTTGCAAGAAGGCTGGTGTTCTTTGGATCATTGTCCGGTTGGACAATGAAGAAGATGAAATGCCTTTGTCCAAATCAAATGCATTTCATCTTCCGCATATGGAAGCATTACTTCCTGTAATATTTTGACGTACAAATGGCGATCCATGATACATTTGATGCAGTATATTGGTCCAAGTAAGCTCGTGAGCCTTTCCCGCCATATAGGACAATTTCGGCACACAAAATATTCCTCCATTTTTTAGTGGGCTAATCCAGATGATCCTTAGCAAATTTTAGTCGCTTCCTTCAACAACGGCACTTTTCTTGGGCTTCGCGACGCCAAATTTGCATCTCGAAGACATATGAGAATAGTTACAACGCCAGCTTCCACAACAAGTTTGTCTTTTATTTCTGTAGCAGCAGTAAAGACGTTTTGTTTTGAATATCTTACTATACGTGCAACGCCTTTTTTGATAATACTGGAAGACGGCCACGTGTTTCACTAGTGGGAGTGTATTTTATAGCATTGCGTACCATTGTCGGTGAGCAACCTATAATATTTTGCACTTCTTTATAAGATTTACCCTCCGAAATCAGCCTTCTGATCAACAATCATTTTTCTACAGTACAATACACGCCACGCCCAATTTTTTACAAAAATTTAAACACAAAATTTTTAAAAAATATACCTATTTTAATTATTTATTTTAAAAAACATCGGTGACTTCTGGCAGCACTACTATTATTTTGACTGCCAAAATCTTTGTTCT